GCTCCCGTGGGCTGTGTGTGTCCAAGTGCATCCTTTTTAAAAATATATATATACTTTTATTGATTTCAGAAAGGGAGAGAGAGAGAGAGAGAGAGAGAGAGAGAGAGAAACATCACTGCTGAGAGTCGTTGATTGGCTGCCTCCTGCACGCCCCACCCTGGGGATTGAACCTGCAACCTGGGCATGTGCCCCGAGCGGGAATTGAACCAGAAGCTCCTGGTTCATAGGTCGATGCTCAACCCCTGAGCCATGCTGGCCAGGCCAAGTACATTTTTCCTAGTCAGTTCCTTTCGTTATTGAATAGGGTGGATTCAATGTTCTTTGAAAGCATTAGCCTTAATCTTAAGATGCTTAAGGGAACGAAAGGGGGTTTTTGGAAGCATTCTGGGGAAGGAAAGGAGGCTTGTTCAGCCCTGAGGCAGGTTTTAACCGCCGGCTTGTTGGGTTGACTGAAGGCAACAGTCAAACCAACAGTCTGAAACAACAAGCAACAGCCGTGCGGGGTCCGCCCTGCTCTCGTCTGACTCCACTCCTGTGTAGGCATCAGCGTGATCTGGTGCAGAGAAGGGGAAGCCGGACTGGCATCCGTGGTTGGCATCCGTGCTCCTCAGACCCCGTGGGGAAAGGCCTCAGCGGGAAGCCGCATCCTGTGAGGACACTGGGCGCCATGATCCAGGCGGGGGGACCGTGGCCGGCTCCGAAAGGACAGCCTGGAGAGAGGCCACTCTTTTCCTTTTAATTGATTCCAGAGAGGAAGAGAGAGGGAGAGAGAGAGACATCCATGATGAGAGAGAATCGTTGATTAGCTGCCTCCTGCACGTCCCCCACAGGGGATCCAGCCTGCAACCCAGGCACGTGTCCCTGACCAGGAATCGAACCGTGACCGCCTGGTTCATAGGCCGACGCTCACCCACGGAGCCACGCCGCCGGGCAGGGTTGGAGTGGGTAAGAGATGCCTCTGTTGGAAAGCCATCGGGAATGAGATGGAGGACCGCGATGGGCCCAGGCGATGGGCGCTCCCGAGGACCGGCAGGGGGAGTGAGCTCAGTGCCGAGGCCGGAAACACAGCCCTCCTCCAGGCCGGCGCTGCCTGGCTCCGCGCAGCTACCACGGCAGCCACGGAGGACACTGTGAGAGCCCTCTGCTCGCCTCCACCGGGAGTGCGTGGTGGTGGCGCTGCCGGCACAGGCAGGGCGCCTGGCCAGGGCAACGCGCCCTCCACCGTGGCCTCCGTCCCTCAGGCTTGTTTGTGAGCTCTTCGATGGCATCTGGGCAGGAAGGAACAAACCTGGGGCTTCTCCTTATGGTCTTTTTTAAAAAGTGTGTTATTGATTTGAGAGAGAGAGGAAAGGAGAGAAACATCAATAGCGATCAACTGCCTCCTGTACACCCCCACCCGCTGCTGGGGGCTGGGCATGTGCCCCAAGCAGAATGGAACTGGGGGCCGCTTGGTGTATGGGTGACAGCCAACCATGAGCCACACTGGCCAGCTCCTCATTGTCTTTATTTTATTTTATTTTATTTTATTTTATTTTATTTTATTTTATTTTATTTTATTTTATTTTATTTTATTTTATTGATTTTCTACAGAGAGTGAGAGGGATAGAGAGAAACATGGATGAGAGAGAAACATCAATCAGCTGCCTCCTGCACATCCCCCACTGGAGATGTGCCTGCAACCAAGGTCCATGCCCTTGATCAGGATCGAACCTGGGACCCTTGAGTCCACAGGCTGACGCTCTATCCACTGAGTCAAACCGGTCTCGGCTCCTCATTGTCTTTTGATTGGCTTACAAAGGAGGATTCCGACTTTGGTGCAGGTTACTGGGGGAGGGGCACCGGGCGGGCTCATGGAGTGTGTATGGGGCCACAGTCCGCCCTCCGCTCCTCTGTCGTGTCCGGTCCTGAGGCTGATTCCTCTTCACGCCCTCCAGTTTCTCCTGTCAGTGCCGAGCTCTCTAAGGAGGAAGCCCAGTAGGTGAGCCTCTTATGCTGCAGGAGCTGAGGCCTGACGGTGTCCTCTGAAGGCATCCTTTAGAGGGTTGCACGGTCCCTCTGGAGTTGGGGGGCGCTGCTCTTGGGGATCAGACAGGACTTTCTTAGGCTGGAGGTCAGTGTGTGGATGCTTCCCTGGTCCAGCTGGAGGGTCGAGGTGTCCATGCTGCTTGATGGCCCCAGTGTCCAGGAGAAAAGGGTGCCTCAAAGATGTCCCTTTGGCCCCAGCCTGTGTGGCTCAGTGGATAGAGCGTCAGCCTGTGGCCTGAGGAGTCCCGGGTTCCATTCGCTAAAGGGCACATGCCCAGGCTGCAGGCTCGATCCGCAGTGGAGGGGCGTGCAGGAGGCAGCTCATCAATGAATGATTCATCACTGATGTTTCTAGCACTCTCCCTCTCCCTCCCTCTTTGAAATGAATAAAAATATATTTTTAAAAAGATGTCTCTTTGATTTGCCTGGACCCTCCAAAGCTTGCAGCTTCACACCCCATGTTCACTTTGGCAACTGTGACGTCTCTGGATCTTGTGTCAGAATGTGGATCATCTAAGCCCGTGCTGGGCAAACTGCGGCTCCCAAGCCACATGCGGCTCTTTGGCCCCTTGAGTGTGGCTCTTCCACAAAATACCACGGGCTGGGCGAGTCTATTTGTAAGAAGTGGCGTTAGAAGAAGTTTAAGTTTAAAAAATTTGGCTCTCAAAAGAAATGTCCATCGTTGTACTGTTGATATCTGGCTCTGTGGACAGATGAGTTTGCCGACCCCTCAGAAGTTGGCAATACCAGGCTGCAGGCTCCCTCGCCCCTGGGCGCTGTTTTAGCAAATTCAGGTGGCGATCCCTCCCTAACTCTCAGCAATCCACACTGCAGAGGGGCTGACACTGGCCGAGTAGGTGGCCTCCCTCAGTCTGGTCCTCCCCTCTTCCAGGCTGGAGACCTGGAAGGCCACCACCTCTTTGGGGCAGTCGCCATCTTCCTGGGTTCCTTTCCCAGCCGGCCAGGCGTAAGGGAGAGTTCTCAGGGTCCGAGGCTGGGCAACTTCCTCCCAGGGCCTCCCACTCTGTCCATCACCCAGAAGCACGTCGGTTTCTCCGGGTGCCCAGGTTGGGGGCAGCCTGGGACGTCCAGATGGTGGTGGGAGCAACAGGGGGAGGGAGGTGTAGCTGTATGGTTAGCCCAACCTCTAAGCTTACCCTGCGAGTCTGTTCTCACACTACGCTAAGGTGACCAGATGTCCCGCTTTTGGCGGGACAGTCTTGATTTTTAACAATCTATCCCGCGTCCCGCGGCGTTTTTAAAAAGTCCCAATTTTTTAAAACACCATGGGACGAGAGACAAATTGTTAAAAATCGGAACATCTTGTCACCTTACACTACGCATGCATCCAGGACGGGGATTCTGTAACCTGTCCCCACGGGCCCTAAATGAATGACCAGCCGAAACCGGTTTGGCTCAGTGGATAGAGCGTCGGCCTGCGGACTGGAAGGTCCCAGGTTTGATTCCGGTCAAGGGCATGTACCTTGGTTGCGGGCACATCCCCAGTGGGAGGTGTGCAGGAGGCAGCCGATCAATGTTTCTCTCCCATCGATGTTTCTAACTCTCTATCCCTCTCTCTTCCTCTCTGTGAAACATCAATAAAATATATATATATATATATATATATATATATATATATATATATATTTTTTTTTTTTTTTTTTTTTTTTTTAAATGACCAGCCTGCCAGCCCCAGGCACGCACCAGGTTTTATCTCTGAGGGGGGATGACTCGAGGCAAGCTGCCCTGTACCAACCATACGGTTTGGATCGAAGCACATAAGTTCCCTTCTCTGTTTTCTTCCCGAAAATGAGTCTCGGGGCCCCACTTGGCCAACAGGCCTCCAACACCTACCTGCCCAAAGTCTAGCTTCCGCAGGCTGCAGCAGGACAAGCACCCTTTGTGTCTGCAGGCCGCACACAAGGCCGCCAATGTGGGGCGCGCACAGAGCCCCCTCTTATCCAGCCAGGAAGTCCCCCCCCCCCCACGCATGCCTTCCCTTCAGAGTTGGCACCTGCGGGCCAGGTCTGGGCATGGCTCCAGCTCGAGGCTGTTCGCTGAGCCCACATCAAGCCCAGGTAGGGGTGGGCAGGCGGTGTGTGTGTGTGTGTGTGTGTGTGTGTGTGTGTGAGACTCCCATCCTCACTGCTAACCGTGGAGGGCTCTGTGAGGAACAGGGTTGGGTTTGAGAACAGCCAGGGCCACAGCTGGCAGCTGCTGGACCGAGTTCCCACCCAGACAGGGTCTTTCTGCCAAATACAAAGGAGGGGGCGCCCCTCCCCCGTCTGGGCTTTGGAGGGGGCCTCCTAGGGGTGAAAAGCTGGGGCCTCACTCGGGAGCCCATGGCCCCTCCGACAGCCCTGCGGAGCGTGGTCACCGCGGCGGTTCCAGCCGCCCGGGGCGGCCGCTGCCTGTGCCTCTGAGCCGGCCGGCCGGGAGGGGTGTCCCCCCGGGGATCCCCGATGGAGGGAGCAGCCCCTCTCCCTGCGGGCGGCAAAGGGAGCCAGCGACGCCGAGAGCCCGCCCCGCGGGGCCGGCCGGGCGGCGGCGGGACGCATACGAAGCGCATTAGCGATTAATAATTTCCAGTTGTGCCTCCCGGGCCCGCCGCCCCCGGCCTCTGCGGGCGGCTCCGCGCCGGGCCGGGCCGGGCGGCAGCTCCTGGGCCCGGGCGGCCTGGTCCACCTGCGGGCGGGCGGGCGGGCGGGGCCGGGTCTGGGCCGGACGGGGCCCCGCGCCGGGGCGCGCTCGGGGCGGCGGCGGCTCCGCGGAGCGCAGCGGCCCCTGGCGCCCGGCGGGGCGGGCGGAGCGGGCGGAGCGGGCGGCCGGGCGGCGCGGGGCGGGGCGGGCGGAGGCGGAGGCGGAGGCGGGGCGGCCGGGCGCGGCGGCGGCGGCCAGACCCGGGCGGCGGGCGGGCGGGCAGCGGCCCCGGCCCGCGTCTGCGCCCCTCCCGGTCCGGGCCGCCGCGCGCAGCCATGGTGGGCCGGCTGAACCTGCAGGATGTGCCGGAGCTCGTGGACACGAAGAAGAAGGGCGACGGCGTCCTGGACAGCCCGGACTCGGGGCTGCCGCCCAGCCCCAGCCCCGGCCCCTGGGCGCCCGCGGCGGCGGGGGGCGGCGGGGAGCGCGGCCCGGCGCCCGGAGCGCTGGAGCCCGACGCGGCGGCGCCCGCGGCCCCGGTGAGTGCGCGCGCCTTCCGGGCCCTCCCGCCGCCGCCGGCCCGGACCCGGCCGCCCCGGGCGCAGCCCCCGCCCGGCGGGCCGGCGTGGCGGAGCCGGAGCCGCGAGCGCGCGGCCAGCTGGAGCCGCGGCTGGAAAGTTGTCATCGCCCGGAGCGGGGCCCCGGGAGCCGCCGCCTCTCCCGCCGCCTCTCCCGCGGGGGGCGGCCGGGCTGCCCGGCCGCGGCGGGGGCGGGAGTGGGCGGAGGGGCTCCCGGGGCGTTGGCTCCCAGGGTCTCCCCCTCCGGCTGGTCCTGGGGCGCCCAGCTCCCCGCTTCAGGGCGCCCGGGGCCAGCCTTTGGGGACTGTCTTTGGCCTCGGGGGGACCTTTTGGGAAGGGTCACCCGGGGGCCTCTTGTCTGCCGGGCACATGATGGGTGGGAGGCCTCTGGGGGAGGGAACTTTAAAAAGTGAGTCCTTTTCTTTTCTCTTAGCGGTTTTTTGTTTTGTTTTTTTTTTGAAAGAAAAACACGGAGTCTCCCGCCCCAGCAGTCGCTCAGGTGGGGGTGGTGACTGCCTTTACCTGGCGCGCAGGGAGGCCACATCCTGCCTCCGAGCAGAGCTCAGAGCTGGCTGTCCCCCTGGTAGGGAGGGGGGACCATACACGCTGAAGGTGCCGGCATCCGTGACCCACTGACCTGTCCCTCCGTGGAGGCAGTGCATGCCCCTGTCCCCGTGGGAAGGCAGCACCGGCTTCGGCGTGGCCTTCGGACCGGAGATCTGGCCCTTCCAGCCTCGTAGTCCCCGTCCCCTGGCCGACCCCGCGCGGCTGGCCTTTCCCGCCAAGCCCGTCCGCTTCTGCTCTCCGCCCAGTCAGCTTTTCCACCCACCACAGCCCCCTGCCCCTTCGGCGCCTATGGCACCTCCTCCGGGAAGTCTTCCCTGATGCTTACCGGATTCGTGCCGGAGCGTGTGGCTTCCCCGGCCCCGGTGGCACCGTGTCCGTGTGCTGGTTATCACTCCGGCCCTGCCCAGCCGGCCGCCACTGGGAAGGGTCAGCCGGGGGTGTGCTCAGCGAGCTGGCTGGGCAGGGCCGGGAGCAGAGAAGGCAGAGGAGGAGAACTGTGCGTGTGTGGGTGCCTGAAGGAAGGCTGTGTGTGAGTCGGAGAGCCACCTGCCTGCTCCGGTGGCCGTCATCCTGCAGCCCGGACTGTCTGGAAGGAGCCCCGGAGAGCTGGGGCCAGCAGGCCCGCTGTCCGGACTGGGGGGCTGGATCCAAAGCTCTGTACCAGCCAGTGCCCCTCCCCAGCGGGGGTCCCTGAACTCCCCACCCCGTTCAGGTGCCGGACCCTCAGGGCCTGCCCCTCCCCCCGACCATCCTGACCCCTTTGCCTGTTGTATTTCGACCTACACGCCCAAGGACACCTTGTCCAGGTGGTAGCCAGCCTTCCAGAGAGGTCTGCTTCCTTCCCGTCCCGGAACGGGGGGGGCTGCCACCTCCACACCCCGGCCAGTGTGGATCCTTCTCCCAAAGGAGGCAGAGAGAATGACAGGCTCCCCATAAACCCGGGGCCCCAAAGGGCTGCTCCCTGCCGCCCCGTGAACATGGGGGGCCCCCGTCAAGGCCGGTGGCCACGGGCACCTGTGTCTGACAGAACCGTCCCCCCTGGGCTGCGGGGTGAGGGAGGAAGCCCAGAGCTGTGACCAGACTGGGGGCCAGCGACCCTCCGGGCGCGCCTGCTCTGCCCTCTGAGGCCTGGACAGTGGAGAGTGACAGGGAACTTCGGGGCGCTCCTGGCCCGGTGGGGTGCAGTGCTCCCTCTGGGCCGCCCTCCCCCGGGCAGGGGCGGTGGGGGCCGCGGAGCCGAGTCTGCGGTGAGAAACGCCGGTGGAAGGACGTTTTGGCCTTTCCTGAGGCCGAGACAGTGACAGGGTCGGGCGTGACGGGGTCCCGGTGGAGGCAGGCTTCCTGGCCGCCTCGTGGGTCCGGCCCCTGGGAGGCGCCTCGCAGGTGGTGGTCTCTTTCCAGCCTCTCACGGAACCCCCGTGTGGAAGGGGAGCAGGGCAGGGCTGGGTGCAGAAAAGGTCTCAGAGGCTGTGTGATGCGCCTCCTGGGGGCGCACAGCCCTTCCTGGCAGACCTGGGATTCGAACCCAGGCCTCTCGGCTCCCTTTGCTGGGTAACATCTGAACCGTCCACTGTTCCGTCCCTGCTGAGGCAGCCCTCCTCTGGCATCCTTCCCGGGGGTGGGCCACAGGCTCGGGGGGCCCTCGGCTGCAGGCCCCGAGCCAGGGCCCTCGGTCTGACTGTGCTCTCCGTCCTCCAGAGTCCGGCCTCGCTCCCCACCCCGCCGGCCGCCGCCTGCGCCCCGAGGCTCTGCCCCCTGTCCTTCGGCGAAGGCGTGGAGTTTGACCCTTTGCCGCCGACGGAAGTGAGGTAAGCACAGCAGGCGCTGGGTTCATGTCATGGCCAGATTTTTCATTCTTTTATTCCAGAAATGAATGATTATTTAAAATATATATATATTAGTGCATCAGTCCTGGCCCATGTGGCTCAGTTGGTTGGAGCATCGTCCTGTTCACCAAGAGGTGGTGGGTTCCATTCCTGGTCAGGGCACATGCCCAGGCTGCCAGGTTCAAAGTCCGGTCAGGGCATGTGCAGGGGCAGCCGATCAGTGTGCCCTCTCATACCGATGTTCCTCTCTCTCTCTCTCTCTTTCTCTCCCTCCCTCTCTCCCCCCCTCTCCCTCCCCCTCCCTCTCTCCCCCTCTTCCTCTCCCTCTCTCCCTCTCTCTCTCCCTCTCTCTTCCCTTCTTCCCCCTCTCTCTCCTTCTCCCCCCTCTTTTTCCCCTCTCTCCCTCTCTCTTTCTCTCTCTCCCTCTTCCCCTCTCTCCCTCTCTCTCCCCCTCTCCCTCTCTCCCTCTCTCCCCTCTCCCTCTCTCTCCCCTCTCCCTCTCTCTCCCTCTCTCCCTCTCTCCCCTCTCCCTCTCTCTCCCCCTCTCCCCCTCTCCCCCTCTCCCTCTCTCCCTCTCTCCCCCCCCTCTCCCTCTCTCCCCTCTCCCTCTCTCTCCCTCTCCCTCTCTCCTGTCTCTCCCTCTCTCTCCCCCTCTCCCTCTCCCTCCCTATAAAAAACAAAGACTAGTCACAGTTTGGTAGGCACGCTTTCAGATTTTTTCCTGCCTTCTAACCAGTTAAATATATAGACACACTTCTGAAAGTAAAAACACGATCATGTTACACATGAAGTCCTGCAACTTGCTTTTTGTACCTCATATGTCACGGCCATCAGAGGTTTGAAATTTTCTAATAAACGAGTTCCTCTTTCCGAGAGCTGGTCCCCGCTTGCCCCTTCCCCCCCCCCCCCCCTGCTCCAGTGCTGTCCCCGGCTCAGGCTGAAATGTCCCGGGGGCACCGCCCTCCCTGGGGCCTCCATCTCCGGGACCGTCTGGGGCAGATGCACTGAGAGGCTCTGTTCAGGACCTGCCTTTTCGGAGGAGGGTTTGCTTTTGGGAGCCGGTGGTTTTACAGCCGTGTCTCACTGCCTCCGCACAAAGGGCCCTTTGACGGGGAACAAAGGAGGCTCCCCACGGGAGGTGAGCGGCCAGCCCGTGTTCCTGCGGAGCTTGTATTTTGAACAAAATGAGGACGTGACTTCACGACATCAGCTCTCACCTGCTCTCGGGGGGGGGGGGGGGGGGGGATGCTGGTGCCGACCCCGACACGGGCGGGGGGTGGGGGGGCGCTGCCCGACGTGCCTGTGTGTGATGCCGTGTGAATGAAGCTGCAATAATTCCACAGGAACACGCACTCACGCTTAACTCACATTAAAAAAGAATTAACTTCGAGTCACCAGAGAGAGACCTGAGGAAAAATAAAGCAGCTGCTGAGGAATGTCCGTGTTTACTTTACGGCAATCAGGGTCGTGGCGAGTGCCCTGGCCACTGCTCCGTGGGTTGAGCGTCACCCCAGATAGTGAAAGGTCGCAGGTTCGATGCCCCAGCAGGGCACATACTCAGGTTTGAGGTTCGATCCCTGGTCGGGTACGTGCGGGAGGCAGCTGATCGATGTTCCTCTCTCTTTCCTTCTCCCTTCCTCACTCTCTAAAATAAAAGCAATAAAAACATATATTAAAAAAAAAATCCCACTTTTGTAATTGGCTTTGATTGCTAAGGTCAGCTTGAAGGCCAACGTGGACGAGTGCTCGTATCACCGAGCATCCAAAAGCAGCATCTAAGGTTTCTGGGTTCCTGTGTCCTCTCTCTCTCTTTTTTTTTTTAATATATATTTTTTAAATTTATTTTTTACAGAGAGGAAGAGAGAGGGACAGAGAGTTAGAAACATCGATGAGAGAGAATCATCCATCAGCTGCCTCTTGCACACCCCCCACTGGGGATGTGCCCGCAACCAAGGTACATGCCCTTGACCGGAATCAAACCCGGGACTTTCCACTCCGCAGGCCGACTCTCCATCCACTGAGCCACACCGGTTTTGGCCTTCATCCGTCTTCTCTCTAAAGAGCTAATTGATCGCTTCAGGGGACAGAGAAACTGTTGGCCCTGGTGTAGCAGCAGAACTCACGTTGTTATACAATAATTATCACCCATAGCACTTGCTGTGTTAACTAACATTCTGCCTCGTTCTCACTGGGCACTTTGTACAGGAAGAAGGTGACGGAGGCTTGGAAAAGTTCAGGTCGGGCACTTGACCGCGGTCTCGTGGCTTATGTCAAGGGACGCTGCCAGGCGAGAAGTGGTGAACGCCAGGCCAACTCTGGAATCTTTTTATTTCTTTTTATTTTAAATATTTTTTTATTGATTTTTTACAGAGAGGAAGAGAGAGGAATAGAGCGTTAGAAACATCGGTGAGAGAGAATCATTGATCAGCTGCCTCCTGCACACCCCCCACCGGGGATGTGCCCGCAACCAAGGTACATGCCCTTGACCGGAATCGAACCTGGGACCTTCCAGTCCGCAGGCCGACGCTCCGTCCACTGAGCCGTGCCGGTTTCGGCTGGAATCTTGCGTTTCAGTCCCAGCCCCCACGACCCCCTCCCTCTGTGACTTTAGCCTCCGAGTGGCCATTTCCTCCCCCCGGGCTTGTTGGGACACTTAAACCAGATCCTGGACGTAAAGGGCTTCCCCGAGCGCCACACGCCAACTCTCCACACCCCAGCCCCCCGCGGGAGGCTGCACCCCGGAGGCCCGGGGCCCCGGCCCCGAGGGAGGGCTCACTGTGCGCCTTCGTCTCCCGCCAGGTACACGTCCTCCGTCAAGTACGACTCGGACCGGCACTTCATCGACGGCGTGCGCCTGCCGCTGGGCCTGGCCGTGGCCTCCTGCAGCCAGACCGTCACCTGCATCCCCGACTGCACCTGGCGCAGCTACAAGGCCGAGCTGCGCTTCGAGCCGCGGCCCCGGCCCGCCCGCTTCCTCAGCACCACCATCGTCTACCCCAAGAGCCCCAAGACCGTCTACACCACCACCCTGGACTACAACTGCCGCAAGGCGCTGCGGCGCTTCCTGTCCAGTGTGGCGCTCGAGGCCGCCGAGCTGGCCGGCGGGGACTGCCTCTCGGACGAGTGCTGACCGGGTGGGGTGGGCCGGCCGGCTCCCGGCTCCGGCTCCTCTGCAGCCGCCGCCCCGCCCGGCTCTGCCCCGGCCTCCGCTGCCCGGCGTCCGACCGCGAGGCCCCTGCGCCCGGCCCGGGGAAGGGAGGCGTCGGGCGGCGAAGAAGAACGAGAGGGTTTGGCTCTTTAGATGCTTTGTTGGGAAAAGGGGTGTCTTTCTAGTTGGCTGCTGCACATTTCCCCCCGAGTCTCAGTCTGATGAGAGCAGCGGGAGAAGGGCCGGTTTGAACCAGGGAGGGGGGTGGTCTCTCCGGTGGACGGTCTGTCTGAGGAGGAGGGGGGGAGGGGGGCTCGGGGTGGGAGCCGGGGCCGTGGAGGCTGTCGGCCCGGCCCTCGCGGGGCCCAGCGGCGCCCCCTCCGGAGCCGGGCTGCCCATGTGGGCCCAATCTGTGCAGCGCGGGCCGTTCCGTGTTCTATTTCCATCCCCGCTCCCACTTCCTGTTAACCGAAAAGCTTGGAATTCGAGCAGTTTTTTTCACGACACCAAAAGGCCCCAGGCCGCAGAAGGAGGGTTTTTTTTTTTAAAGAGAAGAAGGGCTCTCCTGTGCTCACCGCCTCCGCTGGGCCAGGCGGACGGTGGCCGGGTCTGGAGGCAGCGGCCTCGTCCCGGTCCCTCCGGTCCCTCCGGAGCCCGGGTCCTGGCAGAGCGCCTCGCACCCGGGCACCAGGTGGCGTCCCACAGGCCTGGGTGTTTGGGGCTCCCAGACGCTTCCCTGTGTTTTCATGTGGCAACACATGGCAGAGAGAAGCGGCTTTTTTTAAAAGGGCGCTGGGGAGAACTGCTTTCGGGCGCTCCACGAGGGGCTCCCCCCAGGGCCTGACCCCACCTGGGGGCGGGTGTCTGTGTGTCTGTGACCTGGTCCGTCAGCATGGGCCCTGGGCCAGCTGCTTTAGGACTGACTGTGTCCACATGGCAGAGGCGCCTTAGGTCCAGGCCGGAAGCAGGGAAATGCCCCCACCCCCGCCTCCTGTGAGGCTAAAGGCGAACTCCACCTTCGAAACCTGGTGCTCCACGCGGGTCCTTCCCGTAAGTGCTCGCTGTAGAGTAAGAGGCTCCGCCCTCGGTGAGAGCCGGAGAAACTCGGTGGATTCCGCTGAGCTGGCCTCGGGGGCAGGAGCTGTGACCGGGCCAGGAGGGGGCCGGGGCCAGGCTGCCTCTGCCTTCACCCCTGCCCGCCCTGCCTCACCCAACCCTCACTTCTTCCTGCCAATCCCCGAGGCTCCTGAGGGAAGAGAGTGGCAGACACCGTTTCTCTTCCCATTCGGGAAAGAAGGAACCGAGGATGTTTCCTCTGAACACATCCAAACCGCCCAGGGCCTGAGGGTGACGGGGTTTTGTCAGCCTGGGCTCCTGCCATTCCTGCGGACGGCTTTGTCCGTGGGCCCTGAGAGCAGGGGTGACGGCTGTGTGGGTGCCTGGAGCCACAGCAGGGGCTCTGACCTGGGAAGAGCAGGTGTGAGCAGGGGAGGGGGTGAGCACACCCACTGAGAGTCACTGGGGGCCGATGGAGCCAGGGGGTCTGGTGTCCTGTTCACCGGGAACCCTGTGTGGTCACCCTGTGTGGTCGGTCTGCGGTGCTCCTGGCCGAAAGCAAGCATCCCCCTCGGTGGAGCCTGCAGGGGGCGCTGGACTTCCTGAGTTTGCCGGATGAGGCTGGGGAAGGGGGTGTCCCATCAGAGGGCCCTCTGGGGCCCTACTGTCTCCTTAGTCACACAGAGCAGCAAATGCTCCCTGTGTTTGGAAAAGCAAATCCCATGGCATTTATGATAAACACGGACTTTCCTCTCCAATCCCGTGGTCTGTATCATGCAGGACACACGGCACATGTGATTTTTAAAGGATGTCGAGAGGATTCCCAAGGCTCTGCTCCGGCCCCGGGGACAGACACCTTGAGGGAGCTCGGAGCGCCGGGGTGGGCAGCCCGGAGAGCGGGGCCTGGCGCAGCCACGGCGAGCCGGCCGCGGGGGGCTGTGCAGGGGGATGGGGTAAGCTCAGGCGGGTCACCGGGCCGGGAGGGACCTGCATGACACCGGGAAAGTAAGTAGGGTGAGCGGCTGTGGGTGGGTAATGCACATGGAAAGGCAGGTTGTGGTTTAAGTTATTCTCCGGGGAACCAACCCGAGTTCTTCCCAGTCCTTTTCCTCCGAACCCGCTTGGCTGAACGCGGCAGAAAAGCAGTCTCGTGAGGACACGGCGGGACACCTGGCGGTGAGTGGCTCGGTGGACGGCGGGTTCCTGTCGGTGTGCAGGGCGGAAGCAACGCTTTTTAAGACTCTCGCTGAGACCAGGCGTTCCTGAGCGCCCCCGGAGGCTCCGTTTTCTGACGGATCCGCGTCTCTCCTCAGGCTCTTGAGCGATGGCTTTCGTGTGAGAAGGGCGATGGGTGACCTCAGAAAGACGTTTTATTTTCAAAGCCGGACCTTTTAAGAAAGAACGATGACCTGGTCAGCGGACACTTTTCCTGTTTCTAACCTTAGGAAACCAGATAGCATTTGGCAAAAACCATTTTTTAAAATTTCTCTTTGACCTCTGTCCCCCCCCCCCCTTCATTTTGCTTTGTGACGTCTTCATTTAACAATAAATTATCTTTTAAAAACAACAAACCTTAGAGCTGTTTCTCTTCTTGAAAGTAAAATTGTAATGTTTTGGTTAAGAAAAAGGAGAGAAGCAGCGGCTCTCTGTCGCAGACGTTTTTAAGATGTGATTGTAATGTAATAGAATGCTGTTTCTGTCTGGGACGTGCCTTTCCTCGGGGATACAAGACGTTCGGGGGCCCTGGGCACAGATGGCTTTAGGACTTAGTTCCCAGGTTCGATGTATACTCTTTCCTGAGGCCCATCTGCCCTGGAAACGTGGCTGTGAGTGAGGGGAGGTCAGTCCTCCCCCTTCCCTTTCTTTTTTCTTTTTAAAAAATATATTTTATTGATTTTTTACAGAGAGAAAGAGAGAGGGATAGAGAATTAGAAACATTGATGAGAGAGAATCATCCATCAGCTGCCTCTTGCACACCCCCTATTGGGGATGTGCCCACAACCAAGGTACATACCTTGGACTGGAATCGAACCTGGGACCCTTCAGTCCGCAGGCCGATGCTCTATCCACTGAGCCAAACCAGTTTTGGTCTCCCCTCCCCTTTCAAATGGCCTTTCTCCCCACTTTGCAGAAGAAATACATGTCTTAGTCTGACCATCTTTTTGTTATTTTGTTTAAATTTCTTCATTGATTAAGGTATGACAAATTTGTCCTCATCTTCCCATTCCCATCCCACACCCCTCCCCATGCATGCTCCCACCCCCCATTGTCCTTGACCACTGGTTAGGCTCATATGGATGCACACAAGTCCTTTGGTTGATCTCTCCCTTTTATCCCCACCCTCCCCTACGCTCCCTCTGAGGTCCGACAGTCTTATCCATGCCTCCTTGTCTCTGGGTCTGTTCTTGTTCATCGATCTATGTTGTTCATCGTTTCCCCAACATGAGTGAGCTCACGTGATACTGGAAATACACTTACAAGAACCGAAATGAGACAAGCCATAATGGTTATGCTGAGAGGCAAATGAATCAGTCTGTAGTGAGTTTCTTTCTGGGCCAACAGTTCTTTTGAGTCCCAATTTCAATGTCAAACAGTTCCTTATGTGTACATGTCAGCAATGATACTTCAGTTCTGGGTGGTGGATGACCATCTTTTTTAAAAAATAACTTTTTAAAGCTGATTTCAGAGAAGAAGGGAGAGGGATAAAGAGATAAAAAAAAAAAAAATCAATGAGGAAAGAGAATCATTGATTGGCTGCCTCCTTCACATCCCCACTGGAGATCAAGCCCACAACCCAAGCATGTGCCCGAACCAGGAATCCAACCGTGACCTCCTGGTACATAGGTCCATGCTTAGCCTCTGAGCCACTCCAGCAAGGCTGACCATCTTTAGTTTTGTTGATCCTCTGGTATCATAAAACCTGTAGCACCAGACAAAAGAACAGATAAAAGCCTAGGTGTCTGGGTACCAGGGCCCCACAGTAGATCTTCATGTCTGTAACGTCCAACCGTGATTGTGTCAGGGATGAAAAGTAGTGGCAGAGCAGGGCTGGCCTGTGTGGGGAAGCTCTCACTTCCAGTTTCCCCTGAAGGGAGGCAGCTGAGTGATAACACTTTCCATGTAACACCCACATCTCTTCAATCTCAGACTCCTGTCCTCCCCGAGGGAAGGTCCCTTGGGCCAAGCAAAGAGGATCGATAAGGAATGTTGAAAGTGAAGGCATCTTATTTCCTTCAAGTTTCACTTTCATCGCTAGGCTCGGGTGCCTTATCTGTTCGTCTTTAAGTTACACTCAGAAATATCTCCCCGGGGGTTGAATGCCGGGTGGAGGGGGTCAATAGGGAAAAGAGAGGGACATCTGCAATACTTTCAACAGCAAAGATACGTTTTTTTAGAAAATAATGTAAAAGAAAGAAAGATATCTCAGGAATGAATATTCTAAATCCTATAACTTTTTTTTAAAGCCAATCTCTTTCACAGAAATTAAGTCTAACTTGGCTGATCAGGATGACAGTGAGACCTAATATTGCCAATCGGGTTAGACATACGGTGCAAATTTCCATAAAACAAAAGTGCTAATCAGCAGTCCCAAGATTTTTTTGGGGAAAAAATATTTATAGTGTGTAAGGTTAACGTTGTAATTGTGTGTGGCATGGTGTGTGTAGAGAGAGGTGAAAGTGTGTTGTAACTAATAATGTTCCAATGTTCCCTTAAAAAATGCCTTTCTAGGTATATCAGATTAAGCTGATGACCTCAAGAGAAGAAGTAGTAGGTAGCCTCTATAATAAAAGCAAAGCATGCAAACTGTCCCCTCAACCTGGAGTTCTCTGGGAGTCTGAACGGGGCGGGGCTGGCGGGGGGAAGGGAGGGAGGCCCCGAAGGCCGGCAGCTACTACAGACCCTACCAGTGCACTGGGCCTCCGGTG